TTTAAGGAAAATAACATTAACCTCAAGAAAAGGATTATATTTTCACAATTTAAGGTGCTCATGTGAAAAACAGACTGGTCAAATTGATTACTCTGTGGATGTTATTCAACCTTGCATTGGCTGCATAGAAGAATAATCCAGACTATTTTCATGGTACAGAGTCATGGAAGCGCATTGGTGGAACAGCACAGGATCTAGCCTTGGCTCTGCCCTTTGCGTGCTGTGTACCTCTGGCTCTCCACATGGATAATGAAATCTTTGGGATTTTAAGTTCTCTTGGGATCCTGTCAACTCCGGTACACTAACATGTTCTTTGAATCCACTGAGGTGTGGTAGAGCTTCACCTTGGTACTGTAGTTTTGATCTTTCTCAAGTAAGATGAGTGGGGTGAGGGAGCTGTTTTATGGAGGCACATTGAGTGTGATACTGGTAAAGCAGGTCAAGAGGCTCCACACAAGTGAATATAAACCCTCAGTTACTTCCTGCTGTTGCCACCAGATGGCGATCAGACATTTGACAGACTTAACCGACTAGCTAAGGTTCCAAGATTGGTGAATCAAGAAACAAATTATAAATTAATGCTGTAATTCATTATGTATATGTCTTAAGCCCTGTCAACTAATCAACAATAGCTTAAGCAGTTAAAGGAGTTGTCCGTAATAAATTCAGGAATATTTTCATCAGAGTGGGGTGTATGATCAATCTGTGAGGTCATGATGGGTCACATCATGGTAGGTGCAGCAAAATTAATAAATTCATCAAATATCAGTGCACTGGAGTAAAGAAATATTTTTAAACCTTAAAATAGGTAGTGATGTAAAATGGTATTTAATAATACTAATGTTGCTGCCATGTAAAAATATAAATGTTTTTTATTCAACAAATTCAGTTAAATCTGTGCATGAAAAGCCCATCAGTAAACATTAAGAGAACTGAGAGTAGGGTGGGGGGTGTGGCTCAAGTGGTAGAGTGCCTGCCTAGCAAGTGTGAGGCCCAGAGTTCAAACCTTAATGCCAAAAAAAAAAAAAAAAAGCTGGAGACATAGTTCAAGTGGTAGAGAAAGAAAAAAAAAAAATGAGAGGTACTTGGGAAACATCTCTAAACTCTGGATGTGACAGCAGCTATTTCCTTTTTCTTTAGCAGTTGTCATACTTTCTGCAAAATGGCCAGATAGAAAATAATTTATGTTTGCAACCCATATTTCCTCTATCTACTCAACTCTGCCTCATAGCATATACAGCAGGATAGCATGAAGTAGTCATATAAAATACATAAACGAATGGCTATGGGTATGACTGTGTTCCAGTAAAGTTTTATTTACAAAACAGGTGGTAGTCAAGATTTGCTTGTGTGCCATAGTTTGCCAATACCTGTTTGTGGCCTCTTTCTAGGCCTCTATCACTGGCTTCCATCAATTAAGGAAGTTGATCTTTGACATTTCTCAGATTTTTATTCCTTTAGTACCTCTCACTTAAGCTAAGTAATCCATAGACTGACCCAGAATGACATCTCTTTTATTTTAAGGTCAAATTTTAAATACCCAACTTGAACAAATTTGTAAGTTTCTGGGGCAGGGTTTCTCAGATTTGGCACTACTGAGATTTTGGCTAGATAGTCCTTTGTTTGGGGGCTGGGTAGAGCTGGCCTGAATGTTATAGGATGCTTAGCAGCTCCCTGGCCTCTACCTACTAGATTCTAATCATCCTCCCTCCAGTTGTGATCACCAAAATGTCTCCAAATGGTCTCTAGGAGTCTATAAAGCACACTTAGTTGAAATCCACTGCTCTGGAGACTTTAAGAATAACTAGAAAAGGGGTTGGGTGCCGTGGCTCATGTCTTAATCCCAATTTCTCAGGCTGAGATGGGGAGGATTGCAGTTCGAAACCACCCTGGGCAAAAAGTTAGCAAGACTCCATCTCAACAAATAAGCTAGACACATCTGTAATCCCAGCTACTCAAAAGACCATGGGTAGGGAGTTTGGTAGTTTGAGACTGGCTGGGGCAAAAACACAAGACCCTACCCCAAAAATAACTAAAGCAAAAAGGGCTGGGGACTTGATTCAGGTGTTAGAGCACCTATCTAACAAGCACAAGTCCCTAAGTGAATTCAGATTCCATTAGTGCCAAATAAATAAATAAATAACTGGAAGAATCCCCAAAATGTAAATCAGTTCATGCACCAAGATATCCACCAAGGTAACAAATACATTTTTTTTATGTTTAAAGTCAAAAAAGTCAAAACCAGAAGGAATAACTATCTTATTAGAAAAAGAAGGGCAGTTAGAACTGCATTCATCCAGTCAAAAGAGACTAGAGAGTTGGTAGCAGACTACTTTTTATCAATTTAGATCATTTTATAAGTGTTCCTGAGGCCAGAGAACCCTAGTCAAAGGCTACCTATGATAGGTAGTTGAAAAATCAAACTAAAGCAAGGATACATGGGTAAAAAGAGATATGAACAATATTACTCTTGAGCCCTAAGAATAGTTTCTTTTTCATAACTCTTATATCTCGTGATGAGCTCTAGCAGAAAATATTTATACAGGGTGAATTCATTAACGCATAACTATAAGGTGCCCAGGGTTTTTTGTTTTGCTTTTTTTTTTTTTATCATTTTTACATTTACTCACATGTGTATACATTGTTTGGGCCATCCCCTGCCCCTTTTGTTTTGCTTTAAATGTATGAACCAAGTGTGACTTATTACTACAATGAAATGTTATTTAGTGGAGAAAGTGAATGCAGTACAGCTTTACCAACTACATAGATGGATTTTTGAAGCTAGATTTCATTGCTACTAAAGCTGGTCCTTTAAGTTCAGCTCTTTATGGGTTGTGATTTTACTACACTTAAAAGCCAAAATCAGGGACTGGTGGAAGGACTCAAGTGGTAGAATGCCTGCCTAGCAAACATAAGATCCTGAGTTCAATCCGAAGCACCACCAGAAAAAAAAAATTAAGTTTTAAACCCCAGTACCACAAGCCAAAATCATCTTGACTGAACAATAAGGATACAGCTGGGGTACTTGTGGCTCTCTTGCCTGTAATCCTAGCTGCTCAAGAGGCAGAGATCAGGAGGATCAAAGTTCAAGGCCACCCCATGCAAATAGTTCATGAAATCTGATCTTGAAAATATCCAACACAAAAAAGGGCTGGTGGAGTGGCTCAAGTGGTAGAGCACCTATTTAGCAAGTGAGAGGCCCTGAGTTCAAACCCTGGTACCACCAAAAATAATGATGCATTTTATTTCCATCAATCTTTTTATTTATACTCATATATTAGTAATATTTTTTCTCTCCCAATTATGAATGATATTAATCATAGCTAATAAACCTTCAATATCCAAATGGCTTTGGACAAGGAGTTTTTCATTTTTGTCTCCTTTTCCTTTTTGTTTTTTCTCTTTTTTTTTTTTTAATACTGGGGCTTGAACTCAGGGCCTATACCTTGAGCCACTCCACCAGCCCTTTTTTTATTGTAATGTTTTTTTTTTTTTCCAAGATAGGGTCTCGAGGACTATTTGCCTAGCTGCCTTCAAACTGCAGTCCTCCTGATCTCTGTCTCCTGTGTAGCTAGGATTACAGGAGTGAGCCACCAGTGCCCTTCTCTTATTTTCTTTACTGTGACTTTAAAACAGCATGTCATTTTCTGAATTGTAACCTAAGCCTCTAGAAGCACTAATTCTAATCTCAGGCTCTGCTCATGACTCCTTCTGTGGTCTAGGTCAGGTGTCTTCCTTGATGAGGAAACGGTTTCTCTATCTGTAAAATGGTAGAGATTCCCAAACTCTGGTCTCTGGAAGGCTACTTAAGAGCCATCTTTGAAGCTGTAAATTTCAGTTTCTGTGTCCCACTCACAGATTCTGATCCTATTGTCTAAGGTAATGCCTGGAAAACTCAGGTGATTCCAGTGCACGTGTGAGAACAACTAAAATGATGTGGTTGCATGAAATATGTACTTCCCTAAACATCCTTTGTTAAATTACTTTCTGCAAAGTGTTTTATATCCTACAGAAAATAATTGAGACTAGCCAAGATGCCGCACTACTGACGAATGGGTTAAGCAAATGTTGTATTTATACACAATGGAGAAGAATCTTATCATTCACAAGTAAACAGGTGGAACTGGAGACCATCATCTTAAGCAAAGTTAGCCAGGCACAGAAAACCAAAAATCATATATTCTCCCTCATATGTGGACTTTAGATCTAAAACAAATGCAGTAATATTATTAGACTTGGGTCACACGCTAAGGTGAGAACACATACAGGAGGGATATGGAAAGGTAGGAAACCCAAAACTTGAAAGCGTTTGATGTCCCCACTGCAGAGGAGCTAATATAGTAACCTTAAAACGACAGAGGTCACTATGGGAAGGTGACCAGGAAGTAGTGAAGAGGTCAGGTAGAGATGAGTCAGTTCAGGTTGTAATACTCTTGTGCATGGAAGCAATGCTAGAAATCTCTCTGTGTAGCAGTCCTTATCTCAACTAGCAAAAATGCTATGTCTTTCTCATTATTGCTTATGTCTTTTCTTGGAGAAAAGGGCAGAACAGGTTCTGCCTGGAAGTGAGGGGGTGAGGGAGAGAGGAGAGGGCGGGGGGAGGGGGTGGAGGGGGGACAGGGGAAAGAAATGGCCCAAACAATGTATGCACATATGAATAAAGGAAAAAAAATTAAAAAAATAATAATAATTGAGACTAATACATTGTACTCCCTACACACACTCACACACTCACATCACAACACATCACATCCATTGATGCAGCTTACATAAACTTGGTGTGCTATAAGTGTCAGCTTTAGTTCAAGGAAATTGTCTTGATCCCCAATATGTGTTAGAAGATGGTTTCCTTTTTACCAGGAGATTGTTTCATAGCTTCTTTGCTTTCAGTCTTGGACTTAGATAAGAGTTAAATAGTTTGATAACCTGATTTGCATATAAGCAAAAATGCAATAAAACTAGAAATTTTGTTAATTTGTTTGTTTTTCTTTAATTTACAGAATGCTCTTTTCAGTTGCATTAGCAGAAATGAAAGTAAGTATATTGCCAATGTTTATGAAGCAGTCCAAAGAGCAAAATTAGTTTACAGAACTAATTAGCTGTTGAAACTGTTGCCAAGACCCTGACATTATAACTTAGACTGTTAATTAGCCAAGTGAAGGAATGTGCACAGCAGGATTCTACTAGGCTGTTTACACTGCATTGTTCTAGTCATGCATGTATTATAACAATTCCCATGTCCTAATTGCAAATAATAACCCAATAACAGGATCACTGGTCAGAGGTTAAGCACATCCACACTATATAATGCTAGAGCATTGCCAAGGGCTGCCCCTCAGTTCATTCAGCAGACATTTATTGAGTACTTGCTTGATGTGGGCAGACACACATCTGTGAGGGATGTGACCTGTACACAAAGAACTCTAGGACATGGTAGAATAGGAGGTAGTGCACCAATAAAGTGCTGTAGATCAGAGGAAGGAGGGATCACATTCTGCAAGAGTGCTTACAGGTGACTTCATAGAGTTAGTAGCTAAGCTGGGCCTAGAAGGGTAGGCAAGATGTGAACAATGGAGATTGGAGGAAGGGCATTCCAGGTGAAGGTAATAGTGAGAGCAGTTAAAGAAAAGACACCTTAGTAACAAATAGTTGTTTAGCTTGGCAGGGGGGTATACTGAAGGGCAATCAATAAGCATTAAATATCTTCTATGCTTTCAAACTGGGGCTAAGTTCAAGATTTCCCAGATAGTCTGTAGTATGTAATCTTAGGTCCTCTTACAATGACAAGGAAGCCAACTTAAAGGGGGAGTCAGAAGATAGACATCTCAGCTGGGCACCAGTCGTTCATGCCTATAATCCTAGCTGCTTAGGAGGCTGAGATTGGAAGGATTGAGGTTCAAAGCCAGCCCAGGTAAACAGTTTGCAAGAAACCATCTCCAAAATAATTAGAGCAAAATGGAGTGGAGGTGTGGCTCAAGTGGTGGAGCACCTGCTTTGCAAGCATGAAGCCCTGAGTTCAAAGCCCAGTCCCACCCAAAAGAAGACATCTTGTCCTATTCTATTTGTTTTTTTCTGTCCTCACTATTCCTTACTACCACTCCTCATTTATCCCTGTTGAGGTTTATACTGACAATTGTAGCCATAATAATTGTTCTCTGTGGGGCTGGGGATGAAGCTCAGTAGTAGCGTGTGCGTTTAGTATGTGCCAGACTCTCAGTTTGAGCCCCAGCACTACACGTACATACAAAATAGCAAAAAATACATGTTCTTGGTGATGAAAGTGAACTCTTTGGCAGTGGGCACACTAAGCTTGGTAGTAATTGCAAGGATAAAAACAAGTGACAGTAGGTATTGAACTGTTTCCTGACCCAGGAAATTGAGATTTGTCCTACACCCGTAAATTCAGCCCATTTAGTTAATTTGTATGCAATTTTCTTGTTGTCATTATTGTTACTTCTCAAAGTCACCAAAACCCACATTCAGGTTCCTCCATATCCATCTCTAGTAATTATCTAGGAATTCTTACCTGCCTTTCTATAAACTATTTCTGGCCCCATATCTATCCTAGCTCCCTTCAGCCTCCCCCTTGGTCCCCTGAGACTCCTGCGAGGGTCTCTTGCCCTTCATCATAATTTCCACATCTGCATCCCAGCCACTCATCTTCTTCTTCCCAGATACTTTAAGTGATAGCCCATTAGTATTTTGTTTATTTGTTTTTTGATACAGTGTCTCACTAAATAGCCTAGGCTAGCCTGGAACTTAAAATGGCTAGCCTGAAATTCATGATCCTCCTGCCTCAGTCTCCTGACTGCTAGATGACAGGCATATGCCACCACACTCACTGATTTTTTTAATACTTAAATCCAGAATCATACTTATTTCAAATGACTTTACTTTTCAGTATTGGGGCAGATCATGATCAATTGTGAAGATTATACCAATTTAGACATATTCTTGTAACTGTTCAAACTATATAGTTGTTTGGGAATTTTGTTTCAAGATGCACAATTATATAATTGTTATATTTATTAAATTATTCTGATGTCTCTTAGTTTTTACTGGTCCTATGTTACAAATGTGAGGCATTGGGGTCTTTATTTTATTTTGGGTTTTGGTTTTGCTTTGCTTTATTTATAAACCTCCACATATATAACATGGAAGGATTCTATTTCAGTGGGTCTCAAAATAACTCTAGGCATTTTAGGAGATAGGTTTGCTCATTGAGACTGTCCTGTGCATTGCAGGACATTTTGCAGCCCTCAACTCCTTGCATTAAATGCCAGCAGATGTCCTCAAATCATCATAACAGCCAAAAATATTTCCATATGCTTCCACACTCTTCCATTGTTCTATGGAGATCCACTGGACTATAGACTATAAGTTGATGAATAATGACTTTCTCAAGCTAGTAAGCACTTAAGGTCCCCATGACTATGCCAACAAGTAGTATTGAGTTTGAGTGTCTTCTATGGGCTGATTGTATTTCTCAAATTCAGAAAGACATAGTATTCCATCATTATGCTGATAATTTAATGTTAACCAAAAGCTCTTCCCATTTCAATGTTGTCTTCTCTCCCGTAGTGGGCTCAGTATGTTGCAGTTATGCTGGTCATCACACAAACTGCCGAGAATACTGTCAAGCCATTTTTCGAACAGACTCTTCTCCTGGACCATCTCAGATCAAAGCAGTGGAAAATTACTGTGCTTCTATTAGTCCACAATTAATACACTGCGTGAACAACTATACCCAGTCTTATCCAATGAGGAACCCAACAGATAGTAAGTAAAAGGGATATATTCTTCTCATTTCAATCTTTGGTGAAAGAGTTTATAAAAAGGAGTTACCTGCAGTTTGGGTCACTGGGGAAACACCCATCTTCCTTTGGTGATTAGATTTGGCAGATTGGACATTATTGTCACAGTTAAAAGGTATAAGAAAGATGGGACTGTGGAGAACTTAAGGAAATGGGAATTTTCTAGTCTGATGGTTAAAAAGTTCTTTGGTATGGATAGTTTGGAGGAATGCTGGATAATGACCATTAGAATCTCAAACTGTCATACCTTTTGGTCTAACAAGTTCATTCCTCATAATTGTCCTGCAAGAAAACTTACACAACTTTGCAAAAATATGTTGTATATGCATGTATTGGTATAATAGAAAAAAATTAGAAATAACCCAAACATCCATCAGTAGGATATTGGCTAAATAATGATATATCTATGTGATAGCTATGAGATATATCTATGTGATACTTTACAACCAACAAAAAAGAATGAAATAGATTTATATAAAAGGGTAGAACATGGCTCAAATGGTAGCATTTTTAGTTAGAATGTGCAAGGCCCTATGGTCAATCCTCAGTACCACAAAAAAAAAAAAAAAAAGAGAAGTCCAAGATAAATTAAGCAAAAAAAGCAAGTTATATAACTAAATCCTATATAAATAAGGGATACATTTTAGTTTAGTTATATACCTAATTGTTCCATGTTATATATTTCTATAATGTTTGAATATTTATTAAGGAGCAATTATCTTAATAATTAAAAATTCACAAAAAATGAAAAGAGAGTCTGATATTTTTTAAAAATCAGGGCTTCCTAATGAACCTGCATCTTTTGACAATCTTCGAAGGCTCCAGTTTGTACATTCTGGAATCCATTTTGTTCACCTACAAGGAATAAGGTTTTAAAGAACTGACTGACTAACCAAACTGAAAAAGACAATGTTTTGATTTATCCTGACATATTGAAAGACTTGTTTTTATAAACTCAAAAGCATTGTGCCTTGTTTGGCCACAATTAAAATCAGAACTCTAAGACTTTTTGACATTCTGTGATATGGCTATCTGGTGAAAATCAGATGAAGCATTTGCCATAAGCAACCTTCATTTGTTTTAAACTTTTTTTTTGACAGTACTAAAGTTTGAACTCAGGCCCCTCACACTTACTAGGCAAACTTACACTTGAGCCACTCTGCCAGCCCCTTAATTTGTTTTCTAGGCATATCTATGTAATTGTGTTTCCTGACATTTAGACTACACAGAAATGGTGCTAGAGCTAAGGAGATAGCAACTTGCCAGGCATCAGTGGCTCATGCCTGTAATCCTAGCACTTGGGAGGCTGAGGATCATGGTTCAAGGCCATAGTTCTTAAGACTCTACCTCCAAAATAACTAAAACAAAATGGGCTTGTGTCATGCCTCAAACAGTAGAGTGCCTGCTTTGTAAGCATGAAATCCTGAGTTTAAACCCCAGCCTCACCAAAAAAAAAAGGAGATAGAAACTTTAAAAAAAAATTTTTTTTAAGGCAGAACAAGGCCTTAAGGGTAGACTAAGAACCATCTCTAATGTCTGTCCTAATACAGAGGAATTTGTGAGGCAGGGTGGGAGGAAGCTATAAACTGAATAGGTCTCTTCAAAAGTCAAAGATACCTAAGAAAACTAAGAAGCCCTTCTGAATTCTAAAGTATGGTTAAAACCATTCTTTCATGTCTGATCTTTGTAGAAAATTAAAGTCAAGGTCCTGGGGTCAATCCTCTCAGTTTGCTATTGTGTTGTTTAAGTTATAACTAAGACTAATTAACTTGCATAGATATATAAAAGTGTTGAGCTGTCTTGGAATATGATGAGACACAGTATTTGTTTTTGTTGCTATAAATAATAGTTATCTCTCTCATGTCAAGAATATAGTCCCAGCCAGGTGCTGGTGACTCACACCTGTAATCCTAGCTACTCAGGAGGCAGAGATCAGGAGGATTGCAGTTTGAAGCCAGTCTGGGCAAATAGTTCGTGAGACCCTATCTCGAAAAAACCTTCTCAAAAAGAGGGCTGGTGGAGTGGTTTGAGGTGCAGGCCCTGAGTTCAAGCCCCAGTAGCACAAAACAAAACAAAACAACAACAAAAATCTGGTAGACATTCTTTTCTAGCAGGAAATAAGTCCACTTTGATCTACAATACCTTTTCTAAGGACATAAGATGGTTTACATGAGGAGCTCTTGGGTGTAAGATGACTTCATGTTTGTAAGGGTTGTGCTAGAGAGCCCATGAGTGGGGACAGTGGTGAGTTCTAATAATAAATACCATGTCCACCTTTGGTTACACTGCAGAGTAGTGGACAGAGAATTGAGTAGGCCTTGTATACTACAGATATTGATATAGAGTAGTGTTTTCCGCTATACTACTAAGGTCTTCTCTGCTGAACAATACATAAGATTAAACCAGCTAATTAAGCCACTTACATTCTGAAAATGTAGGTTTATATTGCTGTGACAGAGCTGAAGACCATGCTTGCCAAAATGCCTGCAAGAGAATTCTGATGTCAAAGAAAACAGAAATGGAGATTGTTGATGGTCTCATCGAGGGTTGTAAGACCCAGCCCTTGCCTCAAGATCCTCTTTGGCAGTGTTTTCTTGAAAGCTCCCAATCTGTTCACCCTGGAGTCACTGTACACCCTCCTCCCTCAACAGGCCTTGATGGAGCTAAATTGCATTGTTGTGCTAAAGCAAACACTTCAACATGTAGGTTAGTATCTCATTTTCCTTTATTAAAATCAATAGAAAACAGGATTTTAATTAGTGATTTTAAGCCTAGTAAATATGTATTCTTGCATTGTGTAGGCTTAGAGGATTTAACAAAATCTTTCTTTTATCAAGCACATATTTACAGAGCATCATATATATATATATGAAACATTGTTTTGTATATTGAGTGCAAAAAGCACTGTGTTTTGGGATATGACTGATTAGCATTGACAGGGCAATAAATATTTAAAGATGATGTAGTATGGAGTCTACCTTCTAGGAGATATTAGGTAAGCTTACAATTTAAAGATGTTTTGATCTGGTATCTAAAGGATATTCTCTTTATTAAATTATGAAGCTTTGAACTTAAGCAAACCCTTTTATTATATTAGTGAGTAATCTAGGTTGGAATTTATATCCAAAGCTAGATAGCAGTATATTGCCATTTGTGTTTGTCCGGTTCTTTTGTTGTGCAAAATACCTGACATAAGCAATTTAAGGAAGAAAGATTTATTTTGGCTGGCAGTTTCAGAGGTTTCAATCCATGGTCAACTGGCTCCGTTGCTTTTAGCCTGATGTGAGGCAGAACAATGGTGCTCTCCACCATGTGTGCTGGAATAGAGCTGCTCACCTCATAGCAGCCAGAAAGTAGAAAGAGACAAGAGGAAGGGACCTGGGACAAGTTATGCCTTCAAAGGTATTCCCTCAGTGACTTACTTCCTCCAGATCCTGTGATGACCAAGCCTTCAACACAGGAGCCTGTGGGGGGACATTTTTATATTCAAACCATAACCAGCATTCATTTAGATGTTAAACTTGGGATAAAAAATTAACATTACAAACATAGGATAGAGGAAACACAATCTAGAGACAAGAATAAATGGAGTTAGCTAAGGTCATGATAGAATACAGATAAAAAGTAGAAAGTTTACTTTATTAGAGATATTTTGGGTGAATATCCTGAAATATGAGATACCAGGAATGCTAGGAATGCAACATCCTTTCCTGTGGTTTCTATATTAGATGGACCTTTAACAAAAAATGTACCTGGAATAGTTCATCAAACTTTACTGAAGTTATGAAAAATAACCAAACAATACTAGTAGAAGGGCTTAAATAGAAGAAAATTAATAGAAGGGTTTAAAGGGAAATTAATTAAGTTGGTCCTGTACTTAAGAGAATAGATTGCTTCTGGAAGTTAATAAATGTGTAAAAAGGAATGCCCATAAAAAACGTTATGCCTACACAGAGTTTCTGGAGCTTGGAATGCCTGTATGTGTAGTCCCAGAGGACCTACAGTAAAGAAAATTTCTTCTCTCTTTCTGTGAAATAGGGTTTTATGGTTTGCTGAATGCTACTACTTCTGTCAGATTTGATCTTCATGAGAACTTGTAAGATAATTGACGACACTGTAATTTCTGTCTTACATGCAAGACACCAACTCTGAGATGTTAAATAGTCTCTGTTCAGGGAAAATACAGAAAATTAAGGGCTAGAGAAAGCACAGGTACCTGATGTACCTTAATCTCAACTTCCTTCTCATAGTGTGTTAGCTCCCTTGACAGCAGGAACCTTGGATATTTTAATCACCATTGCATTTCCAATGCCTTGAACAAGTACTGACACAAAATAGGCACTCAGTACATGCTGGCAGAGTGAATGAACAAACTTAAAAATAAAGATACCATCTTCATAGGGGTAATTATGAGAATCAAATAAAATTTGAGGAGAAGCTGGGCACCAGTGGCTCATGCTTATGCTAGCTACTTGGGGTGCTGAGTGAGATCAGAAGGATTGTGGATCCAGGTCAACACAGGCAAAAGAGTTTGCAAGATGCCCATCTCAATGGAAAAAAGCTGGGGATAGTAGTGTGCATCTGTCATCCCAGCAATGGCAGGAAGCATAAAGTAGGAAGATCACAGTCCAGGCTGGGATAGGGAAAAAATAAGATCCTATTTCCAAAATACCCAGAGCAAAAGGGTTGGAGGCATGGTATAAGCTATAGAGTACCTGCTTAGCAAGCACGAAACTCTGAATACCACCCAAAACAATTTTTAATAAAAAATTTGTATATAAAAATATACATAAATATATAATTTATTATATGAAGATATATTAAAATTCTCTACTCCCCCCAATATATATAAACATATATGTGTATATATATATGTATGAGAATTTTTACTTGTATATCTCAATAATATTAAATTTTTGTGTAGTGAACATATGTTACTTTTATAGCTAAAAATTAAACTAGCACCACCTGTAATCCCATCACTCAGGAGATGGGGACAGGAGGATTGCAAATTCCAGGCCAGTCAGGGCTACACAGTGAGACTATGTTTTAA